CTATGTAACTACGTGTTATGATATACATACATACCTACATATCTACATACATATGCATGCATCAAAGTAAGAGTTCGTTTGTAAATGTGACAGCCGTCAGCGACAAATGATGACAAAATCATTTCGTTTGCCTTCTAGCACCCCTCATAGTGCTGTTACTTACATACATACATATTTCTAGTAAATACAGGAAGTTGCACGCTTTCGAAAGTGGAAATCTATATGCACGCACACACGTAGATTTTTCTACCTATATATGTATATATGTATGTATGTATGTGTACTAGAGGGCTGCATGAATGCATTCAAAACGGCTTGTGAATTATTCATATACAAAACGAATGAATGATTTTGGCTTCAAATTTTTTTGAATTTGTGTTCTGATATTTGTGTCGACATTACAATATTCGAACAAAGTGAAAATAAATTGAATTGAAATAAATGACAATTTTTTGTATGAATATCCAAAAATATTTTTTCTATACACATATGTACAAACATTCATATGTATGTATGTATGTATTGCTGCGCTCCTATTACATACGAAAAAACTTGTTTGTAGAAAAAAACTTTTACCGAAATGAGTTTGAATGATTTTAATGTTTTCCAGTCATTCATTCACATTCTTCAATTTGAAGGTAGAAAATTTAAAACAAAACGTATATTCATAACTTACAAAATTCGAAACGCTGAGTGTTTTGTATGTGAAGTAAAATATTCAAATCTACTGTACTCTGTTTGGCTAGAAGTTTGAATGAATTCATGCAGCCCTCTAATGTGTACACCCATATACCCACCCATATAAACATACAAATGCACGTCAGAAAAACGTAAATTGAAAGTAGAGCTGCTAACAATGACAGGCGTGCCTTAGCCTTTTTCCGTGGCTCCTGTGGATTTGTCCGCCTTCCTTTGCTATTGCCAGCGCAATGGTGCCGCTGCCACTGCCGCTGCCTCTGCTAGTACGCTAGTCCGCTGATCTTTCGTGGGTAATAAATTTGCCTAAAGTCGTTGACTAGCGCAATGATGCGGTTACTGCACGATGGGACATTTTGATATGTTTCTAGCACACTTGTTTGCGAATGATTTATTGGAGTATTATTAGGAAAATAAATTACGAATTTGATGTCATTGCCTTGACAGAGGACTAGATTTTAAAGCGAGAAAAAAGAGGCGGAACTCTCCAGGAAGATCAATAGTTTAAACACTTTTTCATTGAAATCAGCCCAGATGTGCCTTTGCTACAAAATATCCAGCTTTCTTACGCTGGAAAAAGTGTCATCGGATTACTGCTAGCCAGCCTATCAGAGGAAATGGTGGGGAAGCCTTCAGCTGAAAAGTCTTCAAACTGAATTCTACTACACAACTTTAGGGTGCTCACACACAGGAAGCGGGACCGAGCTGAGCGGAGCGAAGTTTAGAAATTTATGTAACTACATATGTATGTATATAAAAATGTTTATACAGCAAGCTTTTCAGAAGTGTTTTGGACCTGAAAGAAAAACTTTTTTTCATATTTTTAAATAATGTAATGAAAATGTATTTTAAGAGGAGGCAATTGAGGCACATTGAATAAATGTTCTAATCGCTTTTCATGGAAGGTAAGCTTTGTGATACCCATACGGACGATTCCATGCAAAAAGCTCCGCTCCGCTTCGTTCTGTGTAAACAGCAGCAGCTTTAATTCGCTTCCCCTTGATTCGCTCAGCGAGGCTCTTAAATAGGCAAAAAAATCGCCCGAAATATATCACAAAATATCATAAAAATTTTATTCAAAAAAAATCTGACAAGTCCTGAAAAATATCGAAAATTGCACGAAGCTTCGCCGCGTCCAACTTGGAGAAAGTGAACTAAAAAATTTTAACGGAAATTGTGTGAAAATTGCAATGCCGTTGAAGTGCAGAAATTTCTCTATTTCCGCTCTCAATAATATTGAGAGTGAATTATTGAAAATTTGATAAGCCTAAGGCTAAGACAAATGCTAAGAATAAGATAAAGACAAAGACGAATATAAATGCGAAAACGAAGAGAAATATTTAGACAAAAGGGAATCCAAATACGAATACGGTGGCGACAACAAAAAAAAAGAATGCAAAAAACGAATAAAGAGTTAAGACCAAACCGAAGTCGAAGAAATACACGAATACGAAGACGAATGCAATGCCTCAGACGAATACGAATACATATTAGATCACAGGAACAAACACGAATGAAAACACGAAGACGAACATGAAGGCGAATACGAAGAAGAATACGACGACTAATATGAAAACAAATACTAAAACGAAAAATAGTACTAAGATGAACAAGAAGACGAATACGGATATGAGGATGAGCCAAAGACGAAAACAAACACGAATATAAAGATGAATACAACGACGAAACGACAAAAATTAACAGAAGCCGAACATGAATACAAATACGAAGATGGATATCTTGACGATTGCCTATACGAATATTGAAGACAAAGCTGAATAGGACGAAAACTACGAAAATAAATACGAAGTCGAATGCGCGAAGACAAATATGAAGACGAATACGAATGCTTTCACCGAGATAAAGACGACTATATAGATGAATACGACGACAAAAATAACCACAAATACGTAGACGAAGCCGAAAATGAATACAAATACGAAGATGTATGCCTCGACGAATATCGAAGACCAAAGTGAATAGGGCACATTTGACGCATTGTGAAAATCTAGCCAGTGTCTGTGTGTGAACTACTACTCTACTACTCTAAATGCTCAATAATGTATTACTTTGTGAACAGGGTTGCCACCTTTTTCAACATTATAAGACCTTCACCGTTCGCTGGACTAAAAAGTGAGGTACCAAGTGAAAGAATGCGGTCTTCATACCTTTTTCTTTGAGTGGGGTTGTCACCTGTTTAAAAATTACTGCTTTCCATATAATACGTGACCGTATTTTATTGTTAACTACATCATATGTACACAGCTCATTCAATTTATATTGATATACAATAAGGTTTTATTTTTTCGAAGAGCGTTGCCTTCTGTGCGAAAAATTGTAAGGTATGGTTTGTTTGTTTGATAACAAAAAATGAGTTGTCAATTGAAAGGACTTGGGCTCCAGATGTGCACTGAGGTTTTATTTTATTTTTTAATAGAGTTGCCACCTGTTAAATAATAAAATCCGCACCGTTCGTTGGATTAATAAATGAGATAACAATAGAAAAGTTATGCACTCCATATTTGCAATAAGCCTTTATTTTTTTGAGAAGGGTTGCCACCTATTTAAGTTTTAGTACCTTAATATAATAGCAAAGACATTTTTTTTAAGGGCATCCGATTTGCATTGTCTTTTCAATTTTCAAAAATTAAGTGTAAGCCTCGGCCTTAGATGTGCAATACGGTTTTATTTTTTCGAAACGGGTTGCCGCCTATACGAAAAATTATAAGATGTAAGCTATTCATTGGTCTAAAAGGTGAGGTGTCAAATGAAAGGACTCAAAGTAATAGCTTACATACATATATAAACGACCACATCCTTGAATTTCGTTGTTCTAACCCTGCTAGCTTAAAAAATTAAAATAAATAAAAGGGCCAAATTTTTATTTTTTTAATTAAAGAGAATTTAATATTTAATTTGATACCCATATTGTTATTCTACATTGCACTGAATTAAAAAAAAAATAATTAATCATATCTTTGAAATTTCAAAGTACCTTTAAAAAGAATCCTGACGTCAGAGAGAAAAACGAAAAACGCAGTTTAACTATATTTAATGCGTACGTTTGTGAGTATTCGTGCGTTATGATTTTTTTTTGGTTTTTGTAGCACGGTGTAATTTGCTTAAATACTTCTCAGTTTCAACAATCTTAAAGCACAGTTTGCAAGTTCTACTGCTTCCAATCATACCCTAATTTTTCATAGTTGTAACCCTGGTGTACCAATTACAACCACCTACATACATACAATTATGCATGGAGACTTATGGGCCTTAATCTGTTTCTGGAATGTGAACAAATGGCCTTTGCTTTGCGACACCTACATAGTGCGTGGGGCAGTATACATATACATACGTATGGCTTTGCATTTGAATGCTTTGTATGCCATGCCTGCCATTGAAAATACTACTTCATCCTTAATTTACTATTACCAATTTCATTTCGAGCGGGAGTTACCACACAAATCCATACATACATATGTATTTATATTAGGGTGGTCCAAAAATGCATGTGGAAAAAGTAAAGTCGGGATTTTTACGCTCTCACCCCTAGCATTGTTCTATGCCAAAAAAAAAAGTATGCCCTTATTTTTTTATTCTGAAATGTAGAAATATTTAGAGGTCGCTCAAAGCGCCTAAAATTTTCCATGTAATTTATATAGGGGGGAAAAAAAGATTTCGTAGAAATGTTATAGAATAGTTAAAAACCAATATTTTTCTACCAGAAAACTCTGTTTATCTGCTGGGGATTCCCAATAATAGTACCCAATTGTTTATTTAACCATTTTTTTATCGCAACTATAATTTATAGGTTCGCCAAAAACCCCACAAAAACCCCGAAAAATGCAATGGGGCGACCAATAAAAAATCGTTAGCATTAAAAACTGGTTAAACAAACATTTGGATATTATTATTGAAAGTCTCCTGAAGATAACCATAGTGTTCTACGAAAAATTTTATGTTTCCCATATAAAAATACATGGAAAATTTTGAGCGCTTTGAGCGACCTCTAAATATTTTTTGATTTCAAAATAAAAAAAATAAAGGGTATACTTTTTTCGATATAGAACAATCCTAGGGGATGAGAGCATTACAATTCCGACTTTTCTGTTTTTGGACCACCCTAATGTATATCCTCATCCTTACTAGAAAGGATAACTGTACATTGCGTTAGCCTTTCCCGTAGCCTTTTGCGCTACGCACACACACACACAAACTTACAAACTATGAAATAATCAACGAAGTATGAATGCATGTAGTAGATGATGAAAATGAAGATGGAGAAGTAACTGGTAGAAACTACTCACCATTAATCACGTGTACCATGACGCTGGCGCTGCTCGCCGTTGTCGGTTGACAAGTGTAATTCCCTGTATCCGTTGTTTGTGCATTCGAAATGCGCAACCTGTATGAGAAGAAGAAGAAGAAGAAGATGAAAAAGTGTATGTGGTAAGTCGAAGGAATATGCAGAAAATAGACAAATGAAGACATATAAAACATAACGTAGCACATAAGTAGCAAATATGTACATACATACATATATAAATATGTATGTGCGAGAACAGTAATTGCGATGGATGAGTGAATGAGCGTGGAAATGTAAGCCGAAGCTCAAGTAGTATGCGACAGCTAACGTTGGGAGTCATAAGTAGGTATGAGCATGTGCGTAAAAAAATTGTCACTGCACCACATCAAAAGAAAATGTGCAGAAGCAGAAGATGAAGCCAGCCAGCCAGCCAGCCAGCCATGAATAGCAATGCATTAAAATCTAAAGGCTTAAATATTTATTTATGCAGGCTGCCATAGCGATGGCAGCGCACAGCAATCAAAGCCAAAGTGACAAGTGTGCTATCGCAATCGCACAAATGCAAACACAAACACACAGCCAGAGTTGAGGCAGGGCAGTGCACACTTGATCTCTTGCGTGCAGCGACAGGCAGCGTTACGACTTTGCAATATTCATTTGCATGTTGACACGGTCAACCGATTGGCGCAAGTGCTGCTGGTAGCGGTTGAGTTGGTGCTGGCGCTGCTGGCGCTGCTGATGGAGCATTTGTTAATAATGCTGCAGTTGGCTACTTTTGACTTTCAACTTGCCATGCAATTTTGCCTGCCCCCAAAACAGCAGCAACAACCAACCTTCTACCACTGTTTAATGCCCCCTCCACAAATACTTACCTTGATTTCATTGTGTCACCCAGCTGTGATTCCATTGCTATACGCGCTGTGAAGTCCGGTGTTATGTCGTTGGTTAAGCCATCATGCTGAGCTGTCGTGGTCGCCGCCGCCATAGCCATCGCTGCACGGCTGCGACCTGAGTTGCCCTTGCTACTGCGACTGCCTGCAGCAGCCAATGCATTGACATTTGTTATCGTCGCTGTCACATCAACTTCCACCTCATTGTTTGCTAGCGATGAGGGCTGGCGCTTATGCAGCGTTGCTCCTTCGGCGTAGGCATTCACGCGTCCATTGTTGTCGTTGCTCTCCAACTCCTCGGCATCATCAGCATGATCAACGTTATTATCAGCCTCAGCCTCGTCGTCGTCGAGTTCGAAGGGCGTGATTATATGGTCGCCGCGATACCAATAAATCGGTCCAATATCACGAATGCTCGGCTGTTGCACATGACAGTTGAGTATAATTGCGCTGCCGACTTTGAAATGCAGATCGGCTGGGCCGCTGATGATGGCTCGTGAATCGGCGGGTATTTCTACGGAGACAAAAGGGACAGAGTGGAGAAATAAAGTAATGAAGAGATAGTCCATAGACACAATTGCATTTGCAAAAAAATAAAATAAAATAAATGACAAAAAAAAAAATGCATGTATAATGATAATAAAAATTTATGCAGCGTATGTCAGGAATGTCAGCAGTGCAAGCGTATGATTGCGAGAATTAAAATTTATGCAGACACAAAGAGCATAAAATATGCGCTGTCGTTGAGGTATGTGTATGTATAAAAATCAAGGGAAAATAATAAATAAGTGAAATATTAAAGAGTAAATTTACAAATAAATATTTAAAACATAAATAAGCTCGGAAGTTTTCAACATAAAAAATGCGATAAAAACACATTGGAGATATTAAAACGCAAATATTGAGTAAGGAGAAAGCGTTTATTTTCTGAAATACATTTATATATGTACATGTATTTACAGTAAATAAATCCACTGCCAGGTAAAATACAGCCAGCTGGGTGATAGATCACGTCATAAATTTTGAATGGTACCCTCAAAGAGTAAAATAGCGTCGTCCAACTTAAGTAGATTCTGAACTCACCATGGTTGGAGAATTTTACGATCGAATGTTTTCAAAATAGCTCTATAAAGGTGGTTTGATAGCAGTAGATATTTAAAAAAGGGACCGAGAACAAAAGGTATGATCGCTTATCCTTTCGCTTCAAGAAGGCATTATTTTAACATTTGCATGTCATTGGCCGTAAGCCCTTACCCGCAGCATTACCTTCGAACGAAGGGAGAAGGCATTGTTTAAGCGACTTATGCATTTCCCGCATAAACAAAGAACAGCGAACACACACATGTACTTGTATTGCACTCCCGCCCAAAACCAAGTGCAGCGAATAAACACACGCACTTGTGTTTAAAAATAATTCGCTCGTTCTTCATTGGGTTTGCATTTTTTTATGCACTTCTCTGCTGCCGCAGAACAAAACCTACTAAAGTAGTTAATGCTCAACAATCTCGCTTGATGCATCACCACTCCTCCGGAGTGGATTTAAACAGCAAAAGCCAAAGCGCTACAAGCTGTTGGGGCTCTGTATGACTTTCAGCGTACAGAGGTGGTACCAGAGCTACCATTGGCCACAGCGCCTACCCAATTTTTGAACTTAAATAAATAACCAGTGCTCAACACTCCCGCTTGACGCACACCGCCAAAAACTCTTACAGGGTTTAAGCGGCAAAGCCACAGCGCTACAAGCCGTAGGGACTCTGCATGACTTACAACCATGCAGAGGTGGTAACTGATGGTTATCATTGGCTCCGACGCCTACCCAAAACATTTTTGCTTTAATACATTTTTATGCAAATAAATTCATCCTGGTCCTGCCCTCACACTGAGTTATTAGGCATGGATAAACAGAATCCAGAGAAGCGAAAAAAGAATGCGTTACAGAGAAACTAATGTAGAATGCCTAGATAAGTACATACGTATTTATATCAAATTGAAATCAGAAAATGTCTTAGAAGATAAAAATTTTTTTAAATCAGTTTTTATACATACATATGTACATATGTATTTAGGTAATTAGATTTTACTTAAAAATCGGTATGTACATACATGCATATTTAACTAAGCTTAAAATTGTACATCCCCACTCTTGTACTTCACTTCATTGACTGACTTCAACTTCGCTGCAAACTGAACAGAGCAAAACATGATTTCTATGCGAAACAAATTTCCACAGAAAGTAACGGTAGAAAAAGAATTTTTGGATATTCATTCTATTTTTCAGCTGACTACGATGCAGCATTCTACTTTTCATTCCCCGAAATGAAGCAAAGAAGCGAATAAAAAAATATATATATTATAGGACATTCTAGTTTGCACTCCCCGAAATGAAACAAAGAAGTGATATAAATAAAATATTGTAGGACCTTCTACTTTGCATTACCGGCAATGCCTAAAAGAAGCGAACAAATTCGAAGACATTTAGGGGATTCACAAGACGTGTTAACCGTCGTAAAATCTTAAGGTTAACATCTTTTTTAATTAAAATGGTTTTAGGGGATTTCTAACTAAACCGAAATTCTTTTAAACTGATAAAGAATATATAATTAGCCAACCCCCCAACCATTTTAACCGCTATTTTACATAAACAAGTGTTAAGCTTAAGATTTTACGACGGTTAACACGTCTTGTGAATCCCCTATTTATAACGCTATGCCTTCTAGAACACATTACCACTAAAAGCGATTACTGCTTTTTTTGCTGGGCAAGAACGCTCAAAAACCCAAACCGAAATAAGAACAAAGCCTTCGGGATTTTTTTAGAAGAACAAAATAGTCGAGCATGTTCTCAGCGGGAGTTATATAAGAAAAAAAATAAAATAAATAAATAAGCGAACAATACTTTCAGGAACATTTCTAAGAGAACGGAATGGGCGCAACAGTCCAAAGAACTTTCTCACGAAGAACAATTTGGGAACTACAGAAGCAGTATCGTAATGACATGAACGAAATGGGAATAAATCTTCTCTGAACTTTTTACGAGGAACATTTTTTTCATAGCGCTGCATTAGTTTGAAATGTTTGAAGATTAAATAAATCAAAAAAGAATTGAAAGATAACACTGTCCTAGTCGAAAATTTGAACATTGATGGGTCATACGTAGTAAAAATAACTCAAATACGCTGGTCTCAGTGATCACAGTCGTTTTTTCTGGCTTGGCTCTAATTTTAGAGTTATTCGCGTTTGAAAATTTCACCAAAAACACCTATGTTTCTATATACATATATCAAAATGTTATGTTGGTTTGTTAGAGGCTTGAAAACTCAAAAAGGGCTGACTATTAAAAAAAAAAGAGGGTTGCCGCCAGTTTGAAAGATATCGAAATTGATAAGATTACTGAAATATTTCAATATGGGTATTATGCCAAAGAAGTCTAAGAAGGCTTAAAGTCGAAAATAATTTTGAGGAGGGTTGCAAACTGTTTGAAAATCTTAAACTCAGTAAAATAATTAAAATAAATAAAATAATTCCATATAGGTATAATTAATACAAAGAGGATTAAGAAAGATTACTTCTGGAAATATTTTTTGAGGGGTTCCTACCTATTTGAAAATTTTAACTCGGCTAGTTTTATAAAATAATAAAGATGCGATTTTGGTCAGCGAATAACTTGTTAACAAGTAATTTTATGGAAAAATAACTGAAGAGATCGATTTCTTATAAGAATATGTATTTATTCTTTATTGCTGTACACTGATTGGTTCAAAAGAAAACCCATTAAATGCAAAATGTGAAAAAAATCCCATGTTCATAAGACGAAACGGTTTTTACTTAATTCTAAGAACTTTTTTGGCTTCAAAACCGCATTTTGGGCAGAATATGAAAATATAGGGTCGAAGCTAAAAAAAAAACTTAGTAAATAACGGACACTAATAAGTGATGGAAGTTGTTTCACCCCAGCTGCTATTACAGTTAAAATTTTCATAAATGTTGCTATTTTTTGGTGGAACAGAATTCACATTTGTACAAAAAACTCAGATTTATTAAAGTTGCATAATTTTAGGCGACATGAATTTTCATATTTGACAGGGCGACCGTGAATATGAATTTACAGCTAAACTTTTGTTTTGAGTTAAGTCAACGATAGTTTAGGTATGCACTGTGGATTCGGCTCAAAAGATTTTAGTTTTTTAAGGCCAAGTTTTTCTGATAATTTTTCAACAGAAAAAATTTGGTGTTTTTGTTTTTGTTTTTCAGGCATTCATAAAAAGCAAAATTAAGATTTATATGTAGCTTTGTGCCTGAAACTTTTCGAAAAATACAGAAAACTCCGAAAAGATGTATGAAGTTAGAAAACACAGAAAAATTGCGGAAAATCCAAAAAGAAAAAACGAAAAATTATGAGTGCTACCAAAAAAGTCCTGCAAAGTCAAGAAATATTCGAAATTAAACCCGAAAGTTTCTGAGAAAACCCCTGAAGTTGAATACAAAATTTTGAGTGATTCCGAAAATACATAAATCACACAGTAATTCACAAACGAAGTCCGAAAATTTCCAAAAAATCTCGAACGATTTCGAAAAATAAAACACCAGGCATACCAAAGAATTTCGAAAAAATCTTAAAGGTTATCGAACAATTTTAAAAAGTTACGATGTATCTCAAAAATTTTCGCGAAGTGTGGAAATACTCGAGTTAAGCTTGAAAATTCCTAAATGGTCCCGAAAAGTCAAAAACTCAAAAAGGTTTGATAAAATCCCGAAAGAACGGGGAAAATAAAACCCGAAAGATTTTCAAAATTCCCAAATCCCAAAGGTTCACAAAAAATTCCCACAATTACGAAGAAACCTGAAAACTCCCGAAAAGTCTGGAAAAATACGAAAAAGCTCAAAATATACACCAAAACATTCCACAACACATCACAAATTATTCCGAAAAGTCCTGAGAAAATCACAAAGAGGTTCAAAGAATATCGAAAAGTCCACAAAAATGCGAATTACGCCCGAAAAGTTCTAAAAGGACACAAGAACTCTCAACAGAACATTGAAAATTCGCAATAAAAAACATGAAATATTATAAAAAAAATCCACGAAGTATTTCGGAAAGTTCTCAAAACATGCTTAAAAGTTACGAAGGATAACAGAAAGAGCCGAAAAATTTTAAATACAGAAAATTGGGAAAAATACGAACTATGATCGGAAAATTTGCAAAATATTCCGCAGAATCCCGAAAAACTCCGAATGGTGCCAAAATATTCGGAGATATTTCGAAAAGTAAATCACTAAGCATTTAAAAAACTCTGGATTTATAAATTCTCGAAAGATCTAGCTAAATAGAATCGAAATAATTTCGAAAAGTCCCGTCAAATTACCGGAAAGTGTGCGAAAATACGATTTAATCCCAAAAAATCCTAACCATTCTTGAAATAGCTCGGCAAAATTCCGAAACGTCCTTTAATATGCTGGAAAGTAAATCACAAAGTATTAAAAAAACTCCGAAAAATCCGAAAAGTTTCAAAATTTC